TTGTTCTCCTTCGATAAAAATTAACTTAAACTGAATTGCGTCGTTTTAAATTCTCTGAATGATTTATAAAACAATGTGCTCTATCATATTTAATATATGAGAGTAAAAGAACGATATTTTTTTAACTAAGAAGTCTTATTCTTAAGAAAAAAGAAAAGTTAATTAGAAAGAAAATATCTAATAAGAACAATTTTAAAAAAAAACCAAATACTAGAATAAATTTTAAACTTTTTTGTTTCACATGTATTTAATTAAACTAGTTAATATTATGAACATATATATATATTTATTTAGAAGACATTCACAAGTAACTCTTCTATAAATCATAATGATATTATTTATCTTATATGTTAGATTTGTACTTAAATAACCGAATACAACTAAAGTTTATATTTTTTATTTTAGGCTTCTTTTCATCGGAAATTAATGTATTTATATAAAGAAAAGAATCTATAGAATATCTATTTTTAGAATACGAAAAAAAAAAAAACAATAAAGGATATTACATTCTAGTCTATGTTTATAATCTCTATTGAATATGTTCAAATGAATAAAACAAAAAAATAAATTCATTCAAAAAAAAAAAAAATTTACCATATTCAAATAAATACCTTTATATATGTAATAATGTCGATTAAATATAAAATAAAAAAAAAGGCAACAACAAAAATTATTCACTAATAATTGTAATCAATATATATGACTTGAATAAATTATAATATAATAACATGAATTTAAACAAAAAAAAAAAAAACAAAACAAAACAAAGACGTCGATATGATTGAAATTTGTTTTAATGTTCTGAAAAAGAAAAAAAAAGACACAAAAATATACAATGTGTGATTTCAACGTCAGTAAGTATGCAAGAAAGAGAATAAAGAAGAAGAAGAAAAAGAAAAAAAAAACGCTCTGCCTGAAACAACACACGTGTGTGGTTGGTTGTGATGATGATGATGGTGGTGTGTGAACATAAAGCGCACTTTTGGTCTATTTCATGTCCTTCTTTTTTTTACCCTTCTATATTGCCCGCTTCGTCCCTACACTTATACACATACTCCTTCCCACCATCAGTTGCGTGCTCTTATACGCATTTTTTTTCTTCTACTCGCATACGCGCGCGCGCAAGCTGCCGAACACGAAGCAAAAGCGCGCGCTTGTTTTTTTCTTTCTCTCTCTTTGTGTTTCACGAACGAGAGCGCGCGTGCGTTTTTCCTTTCTTTATGTTTCTTGCTTTGCTATGCGACCTTATGATCGAATACGACGTCAAACAAGTCTGTTACTACCGCTTTTTCACAGAGTAAGGAAAAAAAACCTAAGACAAATCTGACATATCTACATTATCATATTTAGGTCATTGAATATAATGATTAAATGAAACGACTATATTAAGGAAAAAAAGAAAGAAAACCAAATGATAATATACAAAAATAAAAGACATCATTTCTTAGACAATAGATGAAATTCGATTATATAAACAATCTATATATTAAAAAGAAATATATTGTATATAGAAGACAGCTGATGGCTAAATGCCAAGCCATCACGACCATTATATATGAGTCATGCATCTTTATTTCTCTGTTCTTTCGTTGTTCTCTATTTACGCTTCCCTCGAGCAATTGCACTACGATCTCTTTTATTATTCTAACACAACAACTATTATTACTTCGACAGGCATGCACATACACGCACACACACACACATAAATATAAATGTCTGCTTAACGTCATGCATATAATTGTAGTGTGCATTATCGAGGTCATGTATAGAAAATAAGAGAGAGAAAACAGCTGTTTAATAGAAAAACAAACCCAAAAAGAAAAAAAGAAATGCAATTTCTATAATCTACTTCAAATGATTTATGTCTTCTTAATGTCAAAAAAACAATATATATACATATTTTTTTTTCTTATTTAAATTAAAAATCTTAACCTTGATCGATAATTACATAAATATATCTACTATGTTTTGTTTTTTGTTTCTGTTGAATGTCAATATGATTCTCTATCCTATTGAAAGTATATATGAAAATTTATATTTATCCATATAGATATATACCTGAAACTGTCATTAATATTTATAATCATCATATAAAAACCGTCCTTGCTTGACAGTAAGTAATTCAAAAGAAAAATATACGAGCGATACTTAATTAATGATTATACATAATAGCAAAGACAGGTAGTTGGTAATTACAAAAGAAAATCGAAGGTATTGTAGAATAGAAATATAAATAAGACGTATACCATTGTTAACTATTCAGTTTCTTTTTTTTTGTATTCGAATAAAAATTTTTTATTACATCTTAGAAATAATGATTTAAAAAAAGTATTTTATTTTTCTATCTGATTGAATATTTGATTTTATTCTAACAAAAAAATTAATTAAGTTTCTGATAAAAATAAAAAAAAACCGTAATTCCAAACATCTGTGATATTTAATTATAAAAATACTAAACGTCATAATTCACATAACGTCTACACGGGTTGAAAAAAGAAAAAAAAAAAGAAATTGTTTTTATCTATTACGTGAAGAAATTTTGTCATAGACGAAATATTTATCATAAGAAATGAGATTCTTTGAAGAAATCAACAAAAAATAAACTCATTACAACAATAGAGTTAATTAGATTCTGTATGTCTACAAGAATTCGAAAGAAAAATATAGAAAATTTATTTTATGATATGTCATCATCGTAATTATAATATTCAATTCAATGATTCAGTTTTGTTCGGTTGAATGAATTGTGTAACTAAATAGAGTTCTAGAAATTATGTAATACGAAATTCATACAACATCATTATAAAAGTTTTCAGTGTTTAATTAAAAATATACAACTAGTTATATGAATTAATCTTATTTTGTTTTATCTAATTTGTTATTTTCAATAGCATAGTTTTCTTTTAAAAAAATAATAGAGTTCTTTCGAATAGTGTATGATTTACATTTTTCACATATTAATAAATAAGATGAGAAAAAAAAACAACAAAACCTATTAACTATCGTTTTAGAAAATGTTTTTAATCAAGTCAAAGAAATCAATGTTTTACACAAGCATTTTAATAAATTCATAAAAATTGAATTAACTATTGTTACAAAATATTTTTCAATGAATTTGCATAAAAATTGCAAATTTATTGCATGAGTGTACCTTTTTTTTTTTTTGCTCATCTTATTTCATTTACAAATATGTGACATATATAAATTATACACTATTCGAAAGAAGAGAAAGTTTTCTATTTCAAAATATTTTTATCGAAAAAAAAGTATAGACATTAGCATTTTGTATAGTTTTGTTGAATCTGATGAAAAATTTGACTTTCTTTTCTATTGCATCGTTTCATTTAAATAACAAATTATGTATGATTCGAACACGAAGAAAAAGTTCTATGTTTTCATGTGAAAAATTTTCTTGAGCGTCTTTCTATTGAAAAAAAAACTAGGAATAGACTTTTTGTATACTATTACTTATGCATAGTATGTTACTTATTGACATTGTCATTGAATTAATTCTATTCTTTGTGTTTCATCTGCATGTCTTAATAAATTTGATGGTTTCGAATTGTAAACAATTTTATTACGAACAAAAGTTTCTTTTATATTCATTACTATTGAATACACAAAAAAAAACAGCAAAGAAAAATTGAATTTAATCAATACAATACGAAATAAATTATTCATGATCAATTGATTGAATTTTTGAAATTGATCTACTTAAACATATAAGATCATATTTGAAGTTTATTTATTTTTCAAATAATTAGATGAATAAAAAAATATATTGTTAAGTCGATATAAGAACAAAGTCTATCTGAAATCTTTCGTAAATTTGATGTAATTCAATGAAAAGAACTTGTCGAGAGGTTAGATTTGCAGTTTTTTCAAACTTATCTTTTACGAACATGATGTAACACAAAACAAAATATTTTATGATCGATTGATAATTTATGGAGTTTACTACAAGATATGTTTTTCAAGGTTTTTAATTCTATGTTTTCTTTGTCTTTTTTTTTGTTGCAACTGATCATTCTAGTGTGCAAGAAAGGGATTAAATATTTAAATAATTAATAATAAGTTTAGAGTTTCTTATTTTCTTTTTCCTAATCTATCAGATATTAATCATTGAAACAGTAGATCAGTAGTTTTCTTTTTCTATTTCTATAATTTAAACAGAATGATTTATGGCAACTTTGATAGTCAGCCGTTTTATTCTCAAGAAAATGATGCATATCATATAATTTATTCATGTCACAAAGACTGATAACAGTATGTGTACTGTCTAGCAATAAAATGTGACATAGTATTGCGTAGTTATTCAATTTGTTACTAATGTCTGAAGTTTCCCGATTGATAAAATACATTTCGAATAGATCTGTTTTATTTTTAGTTTTCGAAATCTACAACCCTAGTGTTACTTTGTCCGATTGGTTGTATTCCCAAGCAAATACGGCACAGACAGTTGATCTCAATGAAATCTATTATGAAAATTTTTAATGAATTTCTTTTTTGCATATCTATTTGAAATCTATAGAAAATTTCACGTATGATAATCACTATCCATTTGATCCGACTGATTTATTAGTCTAAATCTTAAGTAAAAGACAAACATCTTTTGCTTTTAACATACAAAAATAACACAGAAAAAAAAATGAACATGAGAACAAAAAAAAGAAACTGATCATCAAATAGAAAGAAATAGTCAGGTTAAAAAGGATAAATAAACATAAGACAAAAGTTTGTTAGAAAAAAAACAAAAACAAATAAACTACAAGAAAACAAAAACACTTCTCCTTTCAATGATCTTTTATATGAAGTAAATTATTTTACAACCGGTAGAATAATTTTCATGCGCATATTCGAAAATTATCAGTCATTCTCACGGACAGACATCTTTATGCGCAGATAGATTTTGTTTTTCTTTCTAATGAAAGGAGAGCGAATAATAATAATAATAATAATAATATATATAGATTCTATTATCTTTGATATCTACACTAAAATTAAACTTTCTTTTTATGACCACGAAAAAGTCGTTCGAAAACGTTCATTTTTTTAGTATTATCATGTTTTTCGTTTGTCAATGAAAGTTCATCTAAAATATTTCCTGTTGATGTTTTAAGTGCTGAATTTGTTGTTGAAAGTTTATTATTCATCTCATTTGTATTATTCATAGCAGTATAACTACCATCACCTGTTGATGAACGAGATGAATATGAAGTTTGTTGTTGTTCTTGTTCATGTTGAGAATCACCATTATTTATTGAAGCAGAATCATCTGTTGGACTAGTAGATGATGATGGTACAGGACGTTTAGTATCATGTTTAGCTGGTGAAAAAACTGATACAGGAATGTTTCGTCGTTGACCCGTTGGAGAGATAAGACGATTATCCTCTGAACGTTTTGACGATCTAAAATGTAATAAATGAAAAATAAATAAAAATTCATATTGCACATTTTTACTCTTAGTCTCTAAAATCTTTTCATAGCTTCTAGTAGTGTCATTCAGATATGAAAGACTTGGAATTAAAATTTGACACGTAAGCTGAACAATAGTATAGACCTAATAGAAAAGAACTTTTGATATTGGTTTTTTCTCCTGAAAAATTCTTCTCTTGAATTTGTTTCTTTTTTATGAAATTGCGATGTATTGCAAAATGCAGAATTTCACACAATATGTTACGATTTATTCTTAATTTCGACAGAACTGTTATTTAAAAATATAATTTTAATAAGTATTTTGTTTTTGACAGTTGTAGTTGAGCGACAGAGTGGCTGTTACTCTTTTCAAGTGTTCCCTAAGAGAGAAAATCTATTTAAAAGAAAAAATTAGATAGTTTTTTTCGAACAAAAAAATTCTCTAGCGAATAACTCTAAAAACAGATTCTTCAATGTCAATCAAGAGAAGCGCACGGAAAAAAAAGACAGAAAACATTATGACCCACTTATTAAGGACTTCTTTTTTTTGTTTTTCACTATGATATATTCATTAGAATTTGTTTATAACTTTTTCTTCTTTAAAATTATCATTTATGCATCAAAATTGATGCAATATCACAAGATAATCTGAATAATAATCCTTACGAAGATGATAATCATAAAATAATACTTTTATAACATCGAATCGATTTCGACATTATTTGTTTGATCGAGCGAAGTCTGGAGAATGTTGACATAAAAAAGAGCAATTTTCGTGAACGTTAATTTTATATATCTTTTCCGTTTCCGATTCTCACGAGCAACAGGACGGAAAAAAATTGTTCCCGCAGGGCACTAATCATAATACTCAAAGTTAACTAAGTACTAGTCTAAAGTAAATCTAACTTACACGATGAAAAATCGATCAATTAATAAACATGTTTTAGTTATGAATGTGTCATATAGGAATATTGAAGTAAGGCTAGAAGTTCGTATCCGCCTTTCTTCTAATCGATCATGACAGACGTTGTTGATATAGAATTATAGATCGTAAATCAATAAGGCATTGTTATTATATATGAGCTACGTCCTTGTAACATCTCTCGAGGCCTAAGTAAAAGGATTCACATTTCAATTCTATAGGGATTGTATTAATAGCTGTTTGTTCTTTTATTGACTAAAGAAAATCGATCAGGATGTTTTAGATTGATTCTGAGAAGCTTTTGTCGATAATAAAATTAACACAATAAATTCTAACCTGTGAAGATCAATACTTGATGTATTTGAATCTTTTTTATCAAGATTTGCTAATATTGGTATTGGAACTTTAGTACGAGACATAGTACTATTCACAGATGATGTTGATGCTGATGATTGAATAAGATTATTATTATTATTATTATTATTATTATTATTTGTTGCATAACGATGAGTAGACATTGATGAACGTGTTTTATTATCAATTATTTTTGGTTGATAATTATCATTAAATGTTAAATTTTCATCATTATCTGTATCGATTAAATTTCCATTTGAATGACGTGTTCGATTTCCATGTTGATTTTTTGGATATGATAAATTATTTCCACTTGATACACGTTTTGTTAATGGTGCTCGATCAGATAATGTTGATCGTGGTGTTATTGGAATACGTGGTGGTGGTGCAGTATCACGACGAATATTCATTGATGTAAATTTTGATGATGGAACTGTTGTAGAATTATTATCATCAGAATCATTTGCTGAACGATTCATATGATGATGATGATTATTATTATTATTAATAGCACGAGTTTGAGCATTTTTTAAACGTGCACGACCATCAACAGATCTTGAACGTTGACATTTATTTGTAAGATTTGTTGATGTTGATTCTTGTTTATTTGGAATATTATTTGAATCATCATAATCAATTTCATATGGTTTTAAATGATTTGATTTAGTTTGTTGTTGTTGTTGTTGTTGTTGATGTTGTGGAGTTTTATTTAATAAATTTGCACATAAATTTGAACTTGATTTTGATAATGAAGATTTTGTTGCTGTATATGCAAGACGATGAAATACAGAATCACCTGCTACACTACCATTATTTGGTGTTGTTTGACCTAAGAAAATGAAAATAAAATAAGTCTTTTATTTTTCTTATTCTTCTTCTTTAAATTTATTTACCTGATGGTGATTGTGAATCATCAGCTGAAAGTTTTTTATTTTGTTGTATATTTGTTCTTGTAAATGTTGGAGGTAAACGTTGTTTAGTTAAATGTATTGGATGAACACTATCCGATGATGTTGTACTTGATGTTGATTGTGCACGATGACGTAAATATTCATCATCTTGATATTGATGAAACGAATCTGATGGCATATATGTATGACTTATTGGTCGAAATCCATTGGGTATTGTTGCATATCCTTGATGAATATATGCATTATTATTATTATTATTGTTATTATTATTAATATTTTCAGATATATATTCTGGTTGTTGTTCACGATAAACATCACGATGTAAACGTGGTGGAATTGCAGGGGGTTGTTCATTAGGAAAATTCATATAAAGATTATTTTCTGTAGGATATGGATTTTGAGAATTAACAAAAACTAACGATGAATAAGCATTACCAACACTTGTAACATCATGATAATTATCATCATGACGTAATTGCCGACGACGACCAATTATTGATTGATAACCCGTACTTGTATTTGGTGCTGGTGGCATAGTACGATTGAAATTTGCCCATGGATCATATTGATGAGAATCAGGAGGATAGTATGAATCAAAGTTTCCTTGACGTGGATATCCATTAGGAATTGGACGAGACATACCATTCATTGTAGGTTGATACTGTGGCGTATTCATAAGACTATGTTGCAATTGAGAATTAAAACGTTCAAGTGCTCGACGAACACTATAATGAATAAAGAAAAAAAAACATTTCTTTTTTTCTTAAGATTATTTTATTTAAACTTACATTGGATCATCAGAATAAGGTGTTTGATTAAGATTATTCGATGTATACATTGATGTATACGATGGAATAGGTAATGGTTGTTGAGGATAATAATTATTTGTTGAAGGATGAACAGGTGTAAATGCTGATGATGGATTTGGACATTGAGTATCATTTTCATTTGGTTGTTGATAATTTCTAGGAGATGGTAATTCTAATTTAGGTGATGTTAATAAGGAATTTTGATGTGGACGTGTATATTCACAACTATATGCTGAATATGTTTGTGTAGGTGTAACATAATTAACAGATGCTTCTGTTGTACGAACAAAATTTGAATCAAGAGATTTAAGTATTGTAGCTGGTAATGGTAGATCAGTTTTATTTGTAGTAATTGCATTTGATGATGATGATGTTTCTTGTTGTTGTGGTTGTTGATGTTGAAGTTCATCGGATGAATGATTTCGTTGTAACTGATTTGTATTATTATCAAGATTTATTGTTTCATTCATAGAAATATCTCTTGATGAAAGCATATCTTCAGAATGTGAACGTTGACGTACAGTAATCGGTTGTTGTTGTTGTTGCTGTTGTTGATTATTTGAAGTAACATAAATTGGTTGTGTTGGTACACGCATAATTGGTATATCATGTTCATTATTTAAATTCATATTATTTGGAGATAATTCAGACATATCAGATGATGATGCTGAACAAAAACGTTGATGTATAGAAACATGTGGTGTTTTATTGAATGGTACCGATGAATCAGGATAACGTGTTGGTAAACGATTATCATTATTTGTTTGTAATGAACCAAGTGTATAACTATTTGTAAACCATGTTTCATTTGAATCATTATTTGTTGATGTTAATGTTGTTGTTGTAGGATTTGATGGTATAGTACGTTTTAAATTTGTTTCAAGTCTCATTAATGCACGTCGTGTAATAGGATCTTGAATGTCATCATAATTTATTGGTTTTGTTTGTACTAATGAACGACTTTTTTCATCGAAACGTTCGAGTGCACGACGTATAATTGGATCTTGTAATTCTTCAGGTTTAACTGTATATTGATGTGATAATTGTTGAGTTAAATCATTTGAATCATGACGATCACGTATACGTTCAAGTGTATTTAAACGACGACGTCCTTCAAGTTGAAGACGATATGGTGTAAGTGTTTGTTGTTCAGATGATGTGTGTGAAATCACTGTATTTAATGAACTATCGATTGATGAAGTAGTTAATAAATTTGAATTTTCTGCTTCATTACTGGAACCTTTTTCATTTGACATTAATGAATTAATTATCATTTCTTGTTCTTGTTCTTGTTGTCCTTCAGAATCAATAACCGTTGTTGATTCGTCTGGAACAACTAAAATACAATTGCAACATAGAAATAAAAAAAAAGAAAGAAAGAAAAGGAATTCTCCTATAAACCAAACAATAATGTTAATCGTATAAGAAGACTGAAAAAAGAGTCTTACAACTATACATTTTTTTTTTACAACTCAATCACACAATAATTATAATAAGCGAAAAAAAAATTGAAATCATCAATTTCATTCGGGTTATATTTATGATGCGGTAGCCAAGGGTCTCATATTACTCTGTTTCGTTTCTATTCGTGAAAAACGAAAGACAGACATTTGATTGCTGCTGCCATGGAGGTTATGATAAAAGACTAACGCCGCACAAAGCAAATATGAACTCATTTTCTCTTGCTCTAAGCTCAATATATACACGCGCTTATATTCTCTCTTACTTTCTTTTTTTTTTTTTCTTCAAATCATTAAACAAATGTCTTTTCGATCTATTCAACTTAGGTAGTTATTGATCAATTGATGGATATAAAGAAAAGACCGAAACTTTAAATGAATATCTTTAAAAATGATTTACACACTTTCGTAGTGAATATGAATATTTTTTTTGGCTATACATTAGAGTCAATTTTTTTCTCTTTTCAATGCTTTGTATCCTTGTATTCATTTTCTTTTATGTCATACATAGAATATCGTAATATAGGTCTCTCATCAACATTCTGGGAGAGAGAGAGAGCAAGAGAGAAATGACAAGAGCAGTTGTAACGACAAGGTATACAATTCTCTATAGTATTAATTCATGTTAATTCTAAAAATGTAAATGGATACTCATCTAACACCTTCACATCGTTTTGTAAGCAGCTGTTAGGTGTATACTTACCTTGTGTTTCGTTATTTTCTACTATAGCTATTGATGATTGTTGTTCTTCTATTTTATGATTATCATTATTTGTTGAATTATTTTGAACAGTACTAGATAAATTTCGTGTTAAACCAAAATTAATTCCAATATCATCAAGAATTGTTTTACGTGGTCGAATAAATGTATCACGTGGAGATATTGTTGATTGTTCATTAGTTGAAGTAGAAGTTAATGGTGTTGTTTGATCATTTTTAAAAACATTTTCAAGTGATTTACGTTGATTGGATAGTGTACCTGACCATGATGATTTACCTTTGACCATTACTGAATTTGTTTCATCGTTACCAATTTTTGTAGCCATAGCAGCATTCATACTTTGTTCAAAACGTTTTAATGCACGTAAAGCAATAGGATCATCTTCAGGACGTTGATGACTTATTGCTGTTGTTGTTGTTGTTATTGTTGTTGTTAATGGTATTTGTGATTCTTTTGATATTATATTCGATGGTTTTATGGAATCATCAATATTTTCAACAATTTTTGAAAAGGCTTTTTCATAACATGATAAAACAGGATCATATTCAAAAGCTATATCATTTTTAGTTGTTTTATTTGTTTTTATTGTTGTTAATGTTTGTCGTGGTATTTTTATTTCTTCATCAGTAAAAATAAAATCTGTTGGTTCAATTGAAGAATTAGTTTGTTTTAATAGATCATCATCATCATCATCGGGTATTTCTTCAATTTCAACTGTTTTATATAATTCTTCATGATTATTATCAATGTTTGACATAATTTTATTTATTTCTAAATTATTATTGGATAAAATTTTAAGTGAAGATTCATCTTGAAAATGTTGATGGTTGCATTGCTCTAATGTTGGTAGTAGTGGCTGTTCTTTTTCTTTTTCTTCTTCGTTTTTCTCTTTTTTTTCTTGCTCTAACAAGACTGCTTGTGTTGGTTCATCGTTTATTAATATTGTTCCCGATGTAGGATGGTAGTTGTGTTCGACATTGAAGTTGTTCTTTTTCTCTACTACTACTGCTACATGAACATTGTCGTCGTCGTCGTCAAAATATTCTTCTTTTTTTTCTTCTTCTATTTCTTTTGGTAAAAGTTCAATAGTTTTCTCCTCATTTGTATTTGTTGGTAACGAAGATGAAGAAGAAGATATTAATAATAAAGAAGAAGACGATGAAGGTGAATTTATATGAATTGAATCCATTATTGTAATTGAATTGTTATTACTATTATTATTAGTATTAATATTTGATTGTTCATGTTGTTCTAAATCATGATTAATATTTGTAATAATTTCTTTTTCATTTTCTATTAAATCGGGTTTGGTTTTTATTTTCATATTTTCATTAAGAATTTTTTCGTCTGTTAATAAATTTGATATAATTATTGGTGATTGTTGTATATCATCATTAGGTTTACTATCATTGAAAATTAGTAATGACGAAGTATCTAAATGAAGTAATAATGTCAATATATGAGGAAAAAAAATATGCAGATATGTATATATAGAGAGAACGGGAGAGGAAAAGTATATGATCAATCCTTGGTCATATGTCATAAATGAGAGCGATAGTAATCAATGAAGCGACGAACTAGTCGATTGATGACATCTCATTTCGGAGACAAGAGTAGATGAAAAGGGTAAAATAAAATTAAAAAAAAAGAATTCGTTCAGCTCGTTCCTTCTCACGTTAATAGAATCTATTTCGTTTATAATGGAATTATAATGGATAGTGATGAAAGAAAAATCTCTTTCTTTTAGTGATGTTTTTTTTATTTTACAATTAATTACAAAGCAGTTTACCATTCGATTTTAAATCAAGCATTTGGTGATCATGTTTCGTTTGGTTGACGATGCTTGTTGCTATTGATGTATTAATCTCCTAAAAATATTAAAAAAAAATACTTGAATACACATTTAAATACATAATTGATCTTTTAGTTTTCTTTTTTCGTGTTACGTCTATCATTACATTAGAGAAAAGGAATCAAAAAAAGAAATGGTTCATTTTAACAATGACTTTTAATAGTAGTCAAGAGAAAAGAATTACACTCTGTCTGTATGTATATGCCGTTAGACAAACAGTCATAGGGCAAACGGCATTGTTCAAGTGTAGAATCGGTCAAGTTGATGACAAGATTATTTGGCTTCGAATGAATGAATAAAATTTTAAATTAACTAACATTGTTAAAAATTCATTAGTAAAATAAGAAATAATAAATGATTATAGACAAGTAGACACATGACAAATCAAATTTATCAACCGAGAATAAACAGGATTAATAAATTTGTTTTGTTGTCAGCTTAACAATATTTTTACTTGTCACATAGAGTTAAATCTTTCTCATATAGTTATATTCAACTCATATAAGAATATGATTTATTCAATTATATTCTTTTTCTTTTAATACAAAACAAAAAAAAAAGAATATATTTTTTTTTACTCTGTTTTATTATCATACGAAATTTTAAAGATATCGTAAACGAAATCTTATCAATTAGACAAAACGCTTAAGGGGTAGTTGCTTTAATTTATCTAAGAATTGAAATGTAAAATATTAGGCAAAAAAAATAAAAGTTGTACACCATATATTCATGATGATAGTTTATTATTTTTTTTCCTGAATCAAATATTTTTTAACAAGTTATAAAAACCTAATCGAAAAGTGTTGACAGATGCATAAATAAGAATTCATTCTGTTATGTCAATCGAAGAGCAAGGTTAAAATAACTACATCTATTTTTTTGTTCATATTAGAAAGCAAATATGGAGGATATTATCTCAAATGTATATCGATTAACATTGGAAAATTTTTTTTTTTTAAATTTATTATTAAACATTATAGACTAACCTGATTTTGTAGTGATGTTGAATGATTTAATGGTATTGATGAAATATGTTCATTTGTTTTATCAATATTACCTTGTAAAGATTTATTTATTTCATCATTAGTTGTTAATACTTTAGTTTTTACAGTTGAATAATCTTTCTTTTTGACTAATGTAGGACTTAATTGTGATGGTGGTGATGATGAAAATTTTCGTCTAAGTACAGCTATTGGTGGAAATTCGACACCTAAAAAAGTTTTTGTTGGTAATTGTTCAGTAGTATTTTTATTATTTTTAGTTGTTATTGTCCAACGTTCTTGCATTTTTCGTTCACGTCGAGACATTTTATGATTTAGATTCGTTGTCATTGGTTCAGTTGTATCCATTGTTGATGATGCTACTTGTTCATTACTATTGCTATTACTACTATTAGTATTACAATCATTAGTTAATCCTGTACAAATGTTGTTATTGCTTGTAGTATCTTTTCCTTCTATTATAATGACATTAGTATTATTTGAAACATGTTCATTTGATGATGATGATGATGATGATGGTGAAAATGATCCTTCTATTTAATATAGAATAAGAATAGTAAAAGAAAATAATTGTTTTATTATTTTATTGATCACCCACGAATTTGTTTGACCGTCTTTTGAAATGGTCTTAACATGATCAAACCATGAATGTGCTTCTCTTCTTTTTTTTTTTTTTTTTTTCTTCTCTTCTTCTTTCTCTTTTATGTCTACCTCTTATTCAAAGAAAGCATATAAACTATATTTTTTTTCTTTGCCTCTTATGTATTTCGATCAGAAAGATGTACAGTTATTATACATGAAAGCATAAAATGCATCGAAAAAAGAAAAATCGAAAAAAAAAAGAAAAATATGTTTACCTTCATTGAATAAAATATGATTATTATTGTTATTATTTATTTCATCAATTTCATGAGTCATATTGTCTAAATCATCTAATGATGAATCGGGTGAATAATAATTACTTTGTGAAGATTCAGATTCACAAGATTTTATTTCTTCAATAGAAAAGTAATTTTCATTTGTTGGTAACAATTGGTCATCACAGGTTGATGATGATGATAGTAAACACTTGAATAGAACAAGACAAAAATAATATTTTACCTATCTTATATATGTACCGTGTCTCGTATATACTATTAGCTCTTGCATATCCGAGAAAAAAGAAAAAAAAAGTAACGCTCTTGGTGGTAATTGTCTCTATGACGCAACTTGCTCATGTTCGAGTAGGCGTGAATAACTATGCAAGAAAAAAAAGTCTTATGCATTTCTTTATTATTCTTACACTTTAACTAACATAGGACAAATGCGGGAATTAAATTAATTGATTTATAAAGGTCAAAATTATAACTGAAAAGATAAGATTACTTGTATTACTTAAAGGTTTCGTTGAATGAACAATTTATCAATGAAACAGAATATTGATATTTACTGTTATCAGTTTTATTTTGTTGTGTTAAAAATATCAAACTTGTTTCTTCATCTGTAAAATATATTATTGTGTTTGAGAAAAAAAAAAAAAAAGTAAAACGGTCCTTTTCTTTTTTTTCGACGCGAAGATTTATGATATATCATTAAATAGATGATTATCTCGTAGTCTTATATTTGCATGAGTAATATGACTCGCTTAAGAGGTAATATTGACAAATATATGCAAATGTTTGCTCAAAGTTTTTTTTTTTTGATCACAAAGAAATCTATGCATATACGCTGATAAATTTTCATTGCTCATAACAGACGACCTTAGACTGTCACCTTCTTTCTTTTAAATACGAAATGCCGAAAATAATTGAGGCCTCTTTTCATATTGAAAAAGAAAACGTCGATCGAATGAATATGATAAATACAGAACCGAAATTGGCTCTATGAGAAGTAGTTTTATTATTTGTCAGATTGAATTTTAAAGAAAAAAAAAAAATTGCAGCTGTCTGTCAGACTTATCTTATTTAATTGTTCTCTTTATTCGTTTTCTTCTTCTTTCGAAAAGAACACAAAAAAAAATAAAATAAAAACAAAAAAAAACCCTTACTTTTGATTCCTCACGCTTTGTTGTTAAAAGTTCTCGCTTAGTTTCTCCTAAATCAACAACAAGCCAAGTTTCTCGATCATTTATTGCCACAGATGAAGTTTGCTCGTTGATTGATGAACATTTTTCTGTCATATCATTTGTATCTGTTCTATACTCATGTACATATGTTTGAATTAATGTATGATCACTATCATTTGTAATAGTGAATTCCGAAAGTGATTGATTAAGTGATGTTGATGTTGGCATATTTAAACTACCATTACATACTACGATTTGAGAAACATTAACAAAATTTTTTTTATTTATTGTAAGTGTATTTGAATCTGTATCTTCATTGATAAATTTATTAAATAGATAATATAAATATTCAATTAAATTTTGATTAATTTTTTTTATTTTTGGTGATATTTTTTTATTTTTTTTCTCAATAACTAATGTATTATCATTAGTTAAACATTCAACACGTAAAATAAGTAGATTAATTATTGTTAAAATTTCATGATCATCATTAGTAGGATTATTATCATATGTATTTTTTAATAGATTTTCATTTGATAAATTTCTTGGACTAATAATTAATGCTTGAGAAGAAAGAGCTGATGACGATGATGATGATGATGATAACATTTGAATTGAATATTGTTGACGAGATAAATTATTTGATAAATACAATGTTTGACATAAATAGTTGTTATCTTCAGATGATTTCTATATGCATATATATATATACATGAGAAAGAAAAGAAGAAAAAAAAATTTTTAATTATTTGTTTGATTAAAAGAATGAACGCAGAATCAGCACATGAGAAGCATACTGATGTAAAAAAAAATGAAGAAACAACCATACAAGTGTATTCCTTTTTAGAGATCCAAATCACATAAGCATGATCAATTTGTATTGTATCCGATTGACAGAAAAAAAGTTTAGGTGAATTTTTCTTTTTTTTTTCTATAAGTTGAAACCGGAGGTAGTTTGGAATGAAGAAGAAATACAGAAAAGAACGAGAAATAAATTATTGGCAATCTTTCTTGATTGAAAAGAAAAACTTGTGAAAGAATCTTTAAATACATAAATATTTTATTTTCTCTTTCTTTCATATAAGCCAAATAAAATGCATATATCGTTGAAAGAATGTTTTTTAAAACGATTAATACGATAAAAAAAAAAAAAAGAAAAAAGAAGTGTCGATAAGAAAAGTATTTTTTTTTACCTTTTTTTGAATTCTTCTATAATCATTATTGTTTTCATTCGTTGTTGCTCTTAGTTCACCACGTAAATATTGAAGAAATGAAGTAACTAATGAAGTGCTTATAGTTTTATTATTGTTATTGGAACTACTTGCATATCGTCGACGTTGTTTTATATTTTCTTCATTGTTTTTACTTGAAGAAAATGTCTGTCGTGCTGGTAAAGAAATCGAGCGATTTATCGTTTGATATTTAGTAAGATCAGTCTCGTCACTAGTTTGTTTGCTTGAACAAATGTTGTTGTTACTACTGTCTTGATTACGATACTCCCGAGGTGGTCGAACAGAACAAAATTGACCAACTAAAAATAAAGGTCTCCTATGCCATATGTTCAATTATATACATATGTATATAAAAAAAAAAAAAAAAGCTTTAACGAAAAAAGCTCTCCTATTACGAATCAAGAAAGAAGAAAGGAAAAAATTTTGCTCAAGATTTGTAATATGACAACGAGACAATATGAGTCAATATTAGACAAGTGTAAATTCTTTTTTTTTCTTCATTTTTCTTTTTGTTACCCTCACTTATCACTGTTGCTATATCAGCATGATCCTCGTCTTCTTCTTCTGTTTGATCGGTACGATTCATTATTATTATTGAAAATGAATGTCTGACATGTACAAACAATAACGAAAAAAAAAAGAAGTTTTATTTTGTTCTCTTTCGTTTTGTGTATTTTGTTTTTTTTTTATGGATGCTGATAGCATATTGTCAAATACAAATAATCCAACGGTTTTTTTCTTCGTTCATCATACCACTCAAAGAAGTCATCAACTTTCAATGATTATATTCGATATTTTTTCTTTTTCTTTTACTACGTCGAAAGTCTTAATTTTTTCTTTCCTTTTTTTTTTAATAATATGTCGTTTTATGTAATGCAATCGAGTAAAAAAGAACAACAGAGGAAGATTTGAAAAAAAATAATTTTTTTTTTTTTTTTTGTAAAATCACCTATACATTTACATAAAAGACGCAAATATGAATAGAAGAGAATCACAGTCTGACGCACATGTGCGACATTCTTCAGACAAGAAAAAAAAAAAAAAGAAAGAAAAAGCACGTACGAAAAATGAAACAAACAGAATAGGTATATCCATACGATTTCACTTATCCATAGTACTGTTTATGTGTGTGTTTTTTTTTTATATGCGCACTACTTGAAAGAACAATCCACTTCAAAAAGTCATAGAATGAAAATATAGTTCGTTTTATTTAAAATATTACCTCTTTGAAAAATGTCATCCTTTATACATCATTGATAATAGCAACTGAATAACTATTTATATTCTTCAAATTTAGCACATATTTATTCATTTACCTGTTATATTCATTTCATCTGGTATCAATTCCAAATATCGAAATAGAAACCTAATGTAACGTTTACTATAGATTAATAAATGATGATGAGCTTGTCGCTTTCACTATTCGATTACATAGTTATACATATATACATATAAAAGAACAATAGATGAAACAACGTAAAAAAGAACGAGAAGCAACAGAGCGTTATTTGATATAAGAGATAAGGAGAAAAAAAAGAATGACATAGAGATGAAGGAGAAAAAGGAAGAGGATATTACGCATACACTTATTGAACGACATACACTACACATATATACTATGATCGATATGTTAATAGAGTATAGCACATATGCTTATACTTGGTGATGATGATGATGATGAGAAACAGCAGATGGACTCGCGGTTTTCTCATCTACTACTTGCACAATAAAAACATACGCTTCAATTATTTCCATTCTCAAATATTCTTGCCTGTTATGATGACCAAATCTATAGATTATGGATTATGCCTTCTGTTTCTATTTCTAATAACTAAAAGTATTCGATAAAACATTTTTCTTGCTATCCTTGTCTTCGTTCAACCAAATGATAGCTACAAGAAAAAATGCATAAGGAAACAAGGATACTGCTAATATACATATTAGTAGGATTGTTTCATTCGTTAATGACCATATGGTATTTTATTCTAAATAAATATATTATGTAAAAGGCTATTAAGATAATTCATGTGTTCATTTCATATGGTCATATTTTCAACAATTTGTTAGTGAATAAACAAACAAAAAAGAAAAAGAAACTTATAAAATATTATTCATCGTTGTTGTATTAGTCAACCAAAAACTCGATTATACATTGGCATGCTTCTTTTTTTTTTTTTCTTATGAAAAGTAAAAGCTATTTAAATCTGAAAGGACAAAGTGTGAACAAATGCGTGATTAAGCCTTCATAGTACATCGAATACTGATTGAACACATTGATCAAAGATAATATCACTGTTACACCTTTATACATATAAGTACATGAAAGTGCATCCTTGATATAGAAAAAAAAAATCCTAAGAACAAGGACAAATTTTCACACTTAAATAATACAATTGCTTTTATACTAATAAATCGTCACGAATGTAAACTCATACAAAGATATAGAATATACCACCAATAGAGTTGAGACAAGTTCATGTTGGAATTTGTTCTTTTTATGATACTAATCGAAATAAAATGTGTCTCGATGTCGTTAAAGAGAGAAGAAAAAAAAAAAAAAAGCTATGATAGTTTGATTTTTACAACATAGATAATTATAGTCAAAATGTCATTGTTATCGTTCATCAAGTTAAGATAAAAGACAAGATATTTTATATGTATTCATCATACTTCAGTATCTCACTGTTCATACTATTCTTTTTTTTTTCTCGATCTTATATTCAACCGGTTTAATCCTTATATATTGTGTATATGTCCTTTTGTCTGTCTAGTGCTTCGATTTGATCAATCAATCATTGGTCGTCTAATATTGCTTTAATGACATAGCTTCAAAGCTCTCTCTCTCTCTTTCGCTTTCTTTTTTTTTTATTGTCGTAGATATCATACATACATGCACAGGCACATGTGCGACTAATTCACATTGTGTGAACGTATAAAAAAATTATTTGATAAAATAAAAGTTGATTGTTGTTAAATATATAAAATAGAAAATAAATGTGATATTGACATTCATCTTATCTTATCTCAATTCTTAAAAAATATTAATTTGAATATAAATTATCTTTTCAAAATAGAAGTCATCGTTTATATTAAATTTTGTATATAAAAATATGGAAATAAAGATAAATACAAGTTTTTTTTTTTTTTTTTTTTAATATTCTTTTTGCACTACTTAATCTATTCAGTCAATAATTATACATTAACATTGAACTATATAAAAAAAAAGGAAGAAGTTAACCCTGAATTATATATATATTTAAGTATGCAAAATATTTGTCCTTCTCGTCTTGTTTTAATAAGTATAGGAAATAGTCTATATTCATTTACATATGAGAAAGAGAGTTTCTATTGAAGAAAAAAAAAACCGTACAATGAAAAGGCAATTAAGTCTATTCACTTGTATGATAGAAATTAAATATTCAAAAATATGCATATGCAGGTATATGCATATTGATAATTCTTACTTGATTGTTTTATTTGTTGTTTTGCATTAGATTTATCTTCTTCAATAAATATCCATACGTTATCTAGATTATCCAGTCCAACAAAATTTATTATTAGTAATAATTTTGAATATTCCTAAAAAAAAAAATGAAAACAAAATTTCAATTCTAAACGAAAAATAAAATAATATAAATATACATATTAAAATTAGAAATAGTTTTGAATATTTCGTCGAGCAATAGGTACATAACAAATTTGAACAAAAGTTCGAGTAAATGAAGAACTTAAACCAATATGTGTTGCTTTACGATAACGTATAACCATAAGAGTACGATTCATTGTTATTTTTTAAAAATCTAGAAAATAAATGTTTTTGTTTATATAGTACCCAATAAATAACTCATGTGTCATATACTTTTATTGATGTTTAATTAATTAAATAAAAATTTTTATTATGGCAAAAAAAAAATAATATATGTCTAATTCAAATATGATTCTAATGATTTAATATTAATTAAAATGAAAATATACAAGAACGTAAAAAAATGACTTTGTAATAGATAATAGAGAAATGAGTAGGCGAATGTTTAACTTAAATAAAATACTAATCTTTAACAAATTATCGAGAATATTGTGAATAAAATTTTATTGTATGTGAATGAAAGAAAGAATGATAATGACATTAAACACTTAAGCAACAAATAATAATGAAATTTACAACGAATCCTTCTCTTTTTAACACTTGAAACAATTGCTAAGAAAAGAAGAAAAGATAAGTCGAGTTTATATATGAATCTGCTTTAATGTTTCGATACTTTCTCATAAAAGAATCAGAACAAAATAAAATATGATCTCACTTTTCAATTTGGTTTATCGATTGAATTATTTTGTTCATGTATTATTTTTGAATTAAAAAGTTTTTTAATATAATTTGCTCGATAATATAATTAATCTTTTAATATGATTATTATTGTCTATTCTTTATGAAGTTTGTTAAATAAAATAAATTCAATATACTCTAAATAGACATAATATTACTGTTAAAATAGTATGTATTACTGAGAATGAAATACTAACATGCATATCATAATAAAACCAATAAGAGAAACAAAGATCTGTTTCTCTTATATTCTCTATTTTTTTTTTTTTGTGATTCTCTAGTTATGTATGTATTTCTATTTTTATTGATATTATATAAATAGACATAAGAGAAATAAAAATAAAAGAGTATATATTGAATATAATCTTCATCTAAAATTAGAAATCAATAAGGAAAAAAAAAAAGAAAACGAATGTATATTGAAAGAAAGAAGTTCTTTTTGTTCTACGAAAACTTCATTTTAACCAATAAAAAATCATTCCATATAAACATTGTTATGCATAGTTCAAATTTTCTTTCATTTCAAGTACACTCAATATTGAATGTAAACAATAGTATTTTTAATAAGTTGAGTACGCAAAGATGTTTTTCTTTCTTTTTTGTTCTTCTCTCATCTATTCTATTTTTGTCATTTGATAAGATTCAATAGTATTGAAGTACATTCTCATTTGTAAATATATTAGATCATACAAAACTATTGAATTAATTTTTTTTTTTTCAATATTTATTTTCAATTTAAATCAAATTCATTTGCAGATGTTAATTGAGAATAAATAGAGTCTGTATTATGTCGATGAGCACGACGAAATATTAAATCACGTTGATTGTATATTGTACTTATAAGACCAAGAAGTATAAGAATAAAAATAATAGTTAAAATTAAAAATATTGGAGCAAAATCTCTTCCAATTGATCTCGTTTCATCTGAAGAGTCTGGTTCATCTTCATTCGCATTCACTGATGAAACTGTTTCAGTACTAATTACTGTTGCTGTTGATGAAAGATCAGTTACAGCATCAGTCGATGGTTCATCAATATATTCACTAGAATATCAAAAGCAAAAGAAAAAATAACTTTTAAATAGACTTCTACGGAACAGTTCAAAATTCCGCAAAGATTGTATGTGTCCGAAAGTGTCAGAACATGTTCCTATACGATATCTACTATCAATAAATTTAAGACTTCTGTAGAGGAAATCATAATGAATTTCATTTATGTTCAGTTATCTTGGCTCAACTGATAAATTAAGAGATATGATCAATTTGACTACTTTGTGTAGTCAGCCGTCTTTAGTTCAACGAAATAAACAGAATTTAGGGTACGAAAAAAAAATTCATCCTGCATGATTCTACTTTTTATTTTAAACCTACCGTTTAGCGTTAATAATACTTGTTTTAATAGTTGGTAGTTTTTGACATATAACAGTTGCTGTTCGATTACAAGGTATTTCATCACATCGAATTGCTGGTGCAACGCTTGACATTAAATCAATGTATGCGCAACCATTTTGTTGAGTTTTTAAACGAGCTTTTTCACTTGTTGTTAAACTTGATGATATCATTAATGCTGTATAACGTTCTTGAAATGTTTTTTCACATAAATCATAAATAGCATTAGAATCTGGTACAACTAATGTATCAACTTCACTTGATATATCATATTGTACAACAGTACGATTTATATTATGATAATAAACACCAACATGTGCAACACCTGATGATGTGTATGTTTTTCGACGTAGAAATAATGATTTAATGTATTGTAATGTAATAGATTTTTCCGGAACAAATACCATAGCTTTATCACGTCGACATTCTGCTTGAGCATCTTTCCAAGTTACTTCATGATATAATATTTTATAACAATAATTATCTATAAAATGATATTCATTATCTTCATCATCACATAAATTTTCACTTGTAATATTAACTGATACTTGTGATGGATTTTCATCTGAAATAGGTGGAACAATTGTTGGTATTATTTCTATTTGTTTATCAACACAAACTGGCATAGCTAATACTGTTGAACATTCATTTGATTCAGTAATACATCTTTCATGACTAACTATATTTTGATCTGAATTTGGTACATTTTGTATAGCAATACAATTTTTATCAGAAATTTCAGGTATTTTAGAACATTGTTTAAGTAAACGTTCAGATATTGTAGCTGGATCAGCTGTATCTGTTGTACGATCAAACCAATAATATCTTGTATCATTAAGAAATCGAAATCTATAAAAAAGAAGTAATTGTTGCATAAGACGTGTATGTAATATTGAATCTGGTAAAATATCTTGAATTTCAACAATATCATTAATTTTTGCTAATGTACTACCAATTGATTCACAATATTTTTTTGCTGATAGAAAAGAATTTGTTTTAGAAGAAAAATGACTAAAAACACATTGTTGATCATTTTCTGCGACTTCAAAACCTTAATAAAAACACAACGTCAATTCGAATCTTTGTTTTTTTTTTTTTTTTTTTGTTCCTACCATGTCGACATTTTGGTAATAATAAATACATTGAATATATAGTAACATTATTTTTATTTCCACATGAATAAAAATAATTGCCTGCACATGGTTGAGAACAATCTTGTCCAGACAATATATTAACATCATCAGCATCTTTCATGGGTTTATTTGTACATAAACATTCTTTATCATTAATTAATGCAAATTTTTGTTTATATTGTGTACAAAATGCTAAACAATAACGTGGATGAAATTCATGTTTATTATAAATTGTAAATTGATATGTTATGGATTGATTAAATGAATTTAAATATATACAACTATCATAAGCATGATTAGGAAATGGTTCAGCTGGTGTACGAACAAATGAATATGTACGACGAGAATCAAAAATTTGAAAAACAACTATTGTATTATCATTACCACATAGTTCATGAGAATTACCTGAAAAAAGAAATAATTATTCATAGTAAATTTTCATAGTTTCAAGGAAGAATATTAAAAAAATTATATTAAATAACAAAAGAATAGTTTCAATGTATCGTTTTACTTTTTCAGTCGAGATCTTTTGTATCTTGTTGAGCTTAATGAACTATGTCTATCATTAAAAAAAAATCAAACTTTTTTTTTTATTTGATTTTCATTGTAGGATCCTACATTGACAATAAAACCATATTTTCGAGTTTTGATCAGAAACATTTTGAAGAGATTGAATAGAGAAGTTATAAAATTTTTTATACAAGCTAGTCTAATTGAGATCGTTATATGAGTAAAATTTTTTATAAGGTTAGTTCAAATGTGAATTCGGATATTTTTGAACACTATTAACATTTTAAAGAATACCAAGACTGACTTCTACTTGTTTTGGTTAATTACTTGGAAATGATTGCAATGAAGATCAAACTCGAACACTTCTATTTTATAAATTTCTATATGTAACATGTATTTCTTATGCTTATTTTAATTTATATATTTAATTCTATTCTATTTTCTTTTTTCCAGTCGATACTCTTAGTCTTCATTACTACCTATAAAACTTCGTTAAATCAATAATATCGTTCTTTCATTTGTAATAATCTCTATAGAATGAATCATATAAATAATTAAAACAAAATTAAAATATTTTACTATAATCGTCTACTTAAAGTTAATTAGAATAATTCGATCTCTATAATATTTTATTTGATGAGATTTTTGAATAATTTGAGAATAGATACCTGGACAAACATTTCCACATTTTTTTTGTCGAAATTTTTCAAAATCTGTTGTTATATTTAATGAATTTGAATTAGAACCATGTAAACAATAACATTTATTAATATGTAAAATAGCTAATTTTGTTTGTAATTCTTGACATACAGATAAACATAATTCATGTGTTAAATGATTTGATATTAATGCTGGTAAATCAAGTACATTTGGTTTATTAAAACAATCATATTGATATTTTTGAACAATTAATGTATTTGTTTCACATAAAACATGTCTTGGTTTAGAACAATCATCCATAGGAGTATTTTTAATCATTGGTTTTTCGTCTTCTTCAGTTGTTGAACGTGTTATAACTAAACATGTATTATTTGAAACGTTTCTATTTTCATTTGAATCAATTAATTGAAATTCATTTATTGATCCATGATTAAGATTAACAGTCTCGTCAATATCTGATGATGATAAAGCATCATCATAAAAAGTATTGTGTAATGATGTTGTTGTATCTACAACTCCATCATCTATAATAAAAATAAAAACAAAAAAAAATTGATTCTTTTCTTTTTTCTTTAAAAAAAAAGAAAAAACATGACATATTTTCATACCATGATCAGGATCAGTATCAAGAAGAAAAAATCCAAGTCTAGCTTGCCATTCTGATATATATTCGACAATGTCACCTTTTGGTGAATCATTTAATTCATTGCCAACAATGAGATTACCAGAACTATCCATTAACCATATACGAGGTTGACCCACTGTAGT